TTCCGAACAAGTGTCACTGAGATCTGTTACGCTTTGAAGGTTCTTTCTGTCAGACACCGTATTGACACTAGATTTAAACAATCAAATTATAGCTGAAGTACAAGGACAATGTGTAATCTGCTCTAAAAGCCTGGCAAAAATGCAGGGATATTTTGAAAACTGCTGAAGCAACATATAGAAAGATCCAAAAAAGAAAATGCCAACTTAATAAAAATATCCAGAAATTATGGTGAAACCGAGAAGGTTTATCCAGTTAGGGTGACTCATTTATAGCCATCTTTGAGTAATGTTCAAAGCACATGATGACAAAAGTGGGATGTTCAGAAATATCCAGATTAACGCAGTTCATTTCAAAAGTATCTCATAATATCCAAATCTTTAAATTATCAGAATTAAAAAATGACACAGAAACAATTCTCAGGTCCAATGTCTTTTCGGCAATGAGAATTGTTCAAGGTGATGGTGTATGAAGTTTAGTTTTCCCAATGAACTGTGTTATGTACTGACACTGACTGCTGCATTTCCTATTTTGTAACACAGGTACAGTAAATAGCCCTTAAGACACCATTTTCTATATTCTAATAAAATCAGAAAACGAAAATGAACAACCCTCTAAACTCATTTAAATAAAGATTAGTATCACTGTTTAGATCTCAACATATTTTACTACTGTGATTTAACTTCACACAGAACTACACAGGCTTTATGTCAGCTATAGAATAATCATTACCTCATTTTTGTGGGCTGCAGCTATGTTTATCAATGTCATTTAAAGCATACTGTTGTTGCATTACATTGCACAACCCTGAGGTTAACAGAATTCACGTGCAGCACACATTTCACTCACACATTTAAATCATTAACTAAAACTCTAACAAAAGTAAAAAATGCTCGCACTGCATCTGAACTATTTCACAATAGTGGCCCAATATTTCTTGCTCATGAAAGCAGAGACAGCTGAGCTGCCCAGAGGAAATTGAATGAAACAGTCAATCGTGTTCCTCAGTTTTACGAGTGGGTGAGGCGAAGAAACCATATCATGTGACCTTGAATGGGTCAAGCAATACGATGAGTGGCTGGAACTGGAAGGACTATGTTTCCTGTATCTTTGACCTCTGTTCTTGCCACAGCACCACAAGGCCTTTGGATTGTGCCTTAAAAAGATGTCTAACCTTTAATTTGCACATAATCCTAATTATATAGAATAATTCGCACATTTGACTTCAGTCGTAAAATTTACACACACAGAACAGTTAGGGCTTGTGTGCACACTGTACCTTTGCCAGCACGAGGTCTGTAGGTCAAGTTGTTCATATCAAATGACAAACGTGGTTTGGCTCTCGTGTTTTAAAGGGGCGATAAATGTTACAGAAAACGTAATGCCAAAATGAGGAGCACGAAAATAGAAAAAAATAATCCCCAAAACATACATGGAAATACTTGGATAAAAGTGGGTTTCTGAACATGTCAAGAAAAATGAATTGGACTGTCAGTGTGAAATAGGGAAGAATATGATGTACTATATCTTTACATCCAGATACTATAGTGCACTACTTAACCTGAAAATGATTAGCAGTCAAATCTTTAGAAACATTCTCAGTGTAACACTAAAGAATAGATAGAACTCCTGAAATAAGGGAGTTTAAAGAGATTAAAAAAGAGTTAAATTAATGGAGCAGACATTCCATATAATCCATCATCTACAGCTGTACTTGAGAATTCAGTGGCTCTCTTTAAATCACCAAGGTGAACGGCATTCAGTAGCATTATCACCATATTGTACAGCTTGTTGATGAGACTTCTTACAAAACAATTATTGTAGATTCTAATAGATCGGTCCCTAAGGCTTCAAATGTGATTCAATAGCCAAATAAACAGCAATAATTTTCTGTCATCTTCTATTGTAAAGACAGCTCGAATACTGAGGCTTTGGCTGAAGTTCAGAAACATAAGCAAGGAGATAATAAAGATGAAACAGCATAATGTCACTTTATTCACAGGGGATGTGGATGAACCTTTAGTTATTTACACTTTTCTCATGCCCTCTACAAACAAGCCAGTTCAAAGCCAACAAACAGCTAGCTCTACTGTTTGAGACTGAAGTATGTATTTACATTCACCGAGAGTTGTAAATACCTGCTTCTCACATCACAAATACACAGTTTATAGTATACGTTTCTACTGCTTCTTTGTGGACAATGGGTTGTATGTTATGGGCTAATGACCAATGAAGTGATTTACAGTTGAGCTGAGAGCCAAAAAAGTAAGAGGCAAATTATTACTGGGTTAAGGTTCATAGATTTTCCACCCAAGTTGTAAGCTCTTATTTTTGGCCCCCAGATAAAATTAATCTGGTATCGTTTATACTAAATTATTCCCTTCGCTGCTTTCATCTAAGGGTTGGAAATTTATGCTGGAGGTGATAAGATTAATTCCCGGGTCTTTCATAATAGTGAAAAAGGACGCCTCCACTGAGTCGAGAAAGCAAATAGCCTTCCACTTGAGGTTAATGTCTAAACAACACAGCGAGCAATTAATCTTACAATTGCACAGCAACATCTAAACGGTAGTGTTAAACGAGGTGGCAGGAGGAAAACATAAAGCACAATCTTGTCTCCTCAAATGGTGTGGCTAATCTGATTCATGCCGCTGTGTGTAATTTGAAAAGCCCTATTTATTTGCAGAACTCTCTATTGTGTAGCTATCACCAAAGAAGATCTGATGAATTCATAAAATGTAAATTGAATTGCAACCAGTAATGATCTTACTTCAGTTACATTTCACTTTCAGGTAGAATCTGCTTCACCCAAAATCTACCAAATAAGACAAATACATGCAGTATTTGATTTCTATCAGTGTGAAAATAAGACCTTTGAATTTAATTTAATAATACCTCCTTACAATTTTGTTTTTCTTGACTAAGTAATCAATTGAACCTGATGGATACACTTTTCAAACCTTTGCAACAGGTCCCCAGGTTGTTCTTTAAATTTCTAAACATTCACACTGGTGTTTAGTGAAAAATCACTGGAAGTCCCCACCCAAAAAGATTGTCAAAAGCATGATGAGAAGCGAGCAGTGAGGAATTAAACAAACAGGTTTTCACATCTGTTTTCTCATCAACAACACAGTGCAACTCGCAAAACTGACATTTCATATGTGTTTTGGCTGGCTCTTTGTTCACCTGGATATTGGCAATTGTTCACATTGATCTAAAGGAACACTGTGTACCCCAGCCTGTATTTTTTATGATAAACACAAGTCAAAACACTGGCAGTGACGGTTTCCTATAACTTTAGATTTCATTATGCTTTACTGAAGTAAAACTCAACTCAAGTCCCCAAAGGGGGCATTGTCTTACTCTTAGTATAAGGAAGGTTCAAGCCTTAGTTCTGAAGGCAGTATTTCATTCGCTTTAAGAATGATTTACACATAAAGGTCTTTGTGATAAGATCCTATTTCAGACATGTAATTACAGCATTTCAAAGAGGGTGGTGACAATTCTTTTTATTTTTATTTTCTTTTAAGCTGAGAGATCTAAGTTTCCATTTCCGTACGGTAACAACAGCCCCTGCCAGTTCATTGTCCCAAACAAAGCCAAGAGCACTTAAGTCTCAGCTCTTAAATAGCCAGGACTCAATGCAAGCCAAACTATTGTGGTCTGATCCAACCTGTATTGTTAAACAAGGTTAGTGCTTCCAGGTAATAACAGTGGAGGCTTTGTGCACTGTATACTAACAGCCTCTTTTCATCACATCAGAAAGATGCCGACTAAACATTTACCACATGTATCTGGGCCAGCATCAGATACATCTGTGCATCAGCACTCATTTTTTAATTACATTGAGAACAAGATGTAACACAGCAAATGGTCAGTTTGATACATTGTAGGGCACGTGTGGTGAGGTTGGTAAAATAATTGTAAAGCATTTACAGCATTTAAACCTTTGGTTTTATATTCAAATTATATTTTAAGTCTGGATTTAAAAAACTTGACTCCTCAATCATCTCAGTGTGCTAACCAAAGTACAGTTTCTGGTACTGTCCACTACAGTTGCACTCAGAGTGCTACAACACATCTATCAGTGCTATGTATTACATCTCCATGATTAATATTCTGACAGCACTTTAATTTCTCTCAAAGGAGGCTGTCCATTTATTCAAGATATCTTTCATTGCTTTTACTATTGGGATCATATGATCTGGCACCTCCCAGAAGAATAATTAAAAAAATATATATTATTCTCTTGTTATAGCTTTTGTCTCTGAATGGAAAAAAACAGCATGATATCACTGGGAAGACACATGCCAAAGCACTTCCCAGATTTTATAAATTGTTTTTTTTCGAGCACAACAGAGCAGTACACCATGACCCAACTTTTATTGCTGTTAACCACACAAGTGGCCACAGATGCTGGATTAAGGAGCCTGATTATCAATGTTTGACCCATGATCTCACAGATAATATTTTTATTAGGACATACTTAAGGAATTAAGCATTTTGATTAACTTTCTTAAGCTAGGGATGAATGAACCTCTAAGCACAGAAAATGGGTACTTTTTCTGGGTGAAGAGAGCTACTAATATCCTCATCATTAGCAGTCTTAATTAGAAACTGTTCAGAAGTCTTTAAGACAAGAGACATCGATGCAAAAAATGTTGTGATATTGCTTAAGACTGAAAGAAATCAGCTGCAGAGAAAGCAAAATGGTTCTACTCGAGGTGACAAGCTATTGTCCTGGATTCCATCATCAAACCATAATCTTGGTGACACCCATGCTATGACGTTTGGACTGTTAAGGTTTGTGTCCTCTTGCATATCTTAAAATACCAAGGACCTTCTTTTAAATAAAATAAATGCTAACACGAAAAAAATGGAAATTGAACTTATTTTATCTAAACTCAGCTTAAGCACTGTTTTGCACAGTATATACAGTATTTCATAACAGCAGGGGATTCTTCTCTTTAAAGACCAGGAGGGTTTGTGATGGAGACATTACCTGGGCCCCAGCTCATCTTCACTGCGCCAGACGAAATCCCCAAATTTCTCATAGTGGGAGTTGTAATGATACTGGACCCGGTACAGCATAGAGGGGGAGATCTCCATCAAGGTGTTGTAGGCAGTCTGCTGCTCCTTCCCACTGGTGTAGCCATTGTAGAGGTTGTACACTTTGTCGGCAATCTCTGTGAAGCAAGCACCAAAGAGCAGACCATCACTCTCTCTCCTCTACATAAAGAGAAGCTCTGTTGGCTCTATTGCGCTAACAGTTAGTATTGCTTAGTAGTAGTAGCAATTCTAATGAGACTTAGCATTGCTAACACTAAGTTCAGACCATCATTGCAGGGCCCAACAATTTCTGAAGGTAAATTCTGGACCTAACTTGCAGCTGCAAATCTCATAATTAGACATTGAATCTACAGCTGCAGCCTCATTTCAAATCAGAATATTCTCGAGATGTACAGTATGACATTTCTATGCCCAATAAAACACTGTGAATGGGTTTCTAATTAAAATATTGTAAATGTTGTGTCCTCACTGAAAGCAAGAGCCTAAATTATGATCGGATACACGAAATAAATTTATTTTCAGTTTATGCTCGTATAATACTTGGCTTTTGAGCTACAAAGCAGACAAGCCAAGACATTTATTCACAGTTAAATGCACTCTCTGAGCATTTTTTTCCTACAAGTTCCTTACTTTGGCCCAAAGTAATGCCTTGATAAAGTAGAGTTAGACTCTGGGGTCAAGCTTTTTGTGGCCTCTCTGGCACATCAGTGTGTGGTCTCAGAGCTGCAATGCTGGCTCCAAGGAAATGAGTCGGGCATTTTACAGGGATTGTCAAGTGGTCACCTTATTTCATGGTTTCATTGCTGTTTCATGAACTGGCCCAGGAAATCTCAGGAAGACCTGGCATCCCAGCATCTCTTTCCTCCTTTCCCATTCAACCCAGTTGCTTGGTCATTAATGTTCTCAGTTCATAATCAGAATCAGTGTTATTCCCACAAAAACTTTTCAGGGTTGCTGCATACAGTAACAAATCAGGACATCCTGAAATAATTCATACATTACTTTTAAATGCAGAGGTTTCAAAATGAGGGTGGGACATGCGGGTTTCGAGATCCACTAACATGCATATTTGTTATTATTTCAAAATCCTTTTAACATTGAGGACGCAGTTATGGTGTCTGTTACACTATTTCATTCTTGAGCCTGTGCAACCACATTATCAAAACAATTAGATTCTAACAATTCCCCCCATCAATCTGCCTAAGGTAAAAAGGTCAGTAAATTTTGTCACATGAAATGAAGCACAGTTTTTTGCATATCTGTTTTTGACAGATACTGCTTTTCCTCAGTACTGTAAATGATAGAATTGTCTTATTTAGTTGTATGTTTGTGGACAATCTTTTCATAACAGCTAAGGCCAATGAAATCATTGCCTCAGCAAGCATGCCCTACTGAGAGATTATAGGGTAATTTTGAAACTTGTTTATTTTGGCGACTACTGATCATCGACATTCCTGTATGTAAGTGTTCTTCTTGAACATCACCGCAAAGCATACATAGATAAATTAATTATAGCAGAGAATAGCTAAGTATTGATGTATAGTTTATACAAATACTGTTGTTTTTTGTAAATTAAAAGTTCAGATTGATCTTCCATTTGTTTCACTACAGTATTTATTATGTAAAAACTTTCAAAGCTTTTTACCCTCGTATACAATTTCCTCCCTTCATATAATTTTTTTCTTTTACACATACGTTTCACAAATGTTTAAGCTTAAACAAAGCTGTTGTTCCTTTGCAATTCTTCGTTCTCTCATTTGATTGGTCTGTAAAGGTTTAAACGAGCACTCTGTTATGGTACATACCCACACTGATCAGACCAAAATAAAAATTCACAGAGACAAAAACTCGAATGAGAAAGTTGCAACAATATGTCCTGTAGTGTCCCATGAGAAAACGCAACTAAAGGAACAACATTTATTCAGGAATAGAGTGAAAACATTATTACAATGCAGAGACCTTAAAAAAGTTAAAGTATTTGCATTTTTTAAATGAGTGTTACAATTAACTTTTTACAAATCGGTTAAGATTCTTGGACAGAATCTATAGACCTGCATAGTCAAAATCATATTGAAAAAGACTACATAAACTGTTTGTGCTGCAGGCGCTAAATAAACACATTGTGCACAGCTCTGCCATGGTATCCAGGCAACAGCTTTACTCTCAGTGACACTGCCCTTATCCTATAGTATTTTGGTACAAGCCTTATTTCAAGTAGGTACAGCAGCTGCGTCAGCATGCGTACTGTAGGCTACAAAGGAACAAGTAAAGGTTACTTCACCTGAAGAAGGCTCCACCAACGAAACATTGTGTTTCTATTCTTCTCTTGGCAGCATCAAATAAACCTTTACATGTTCCTTCAAATCCTAATTTGGCAAATTGCCCTCAACAAATTGCAGTTTCACTGTCTGTCACAGTAAAGCTGGTAGCGAGACTTCAGAAGGGCACCACTTGGGGGGGGGTGGGGGTGTGGGGGTGAGGGAAGTTAATGTCTCTCATACCTTCAGCCTTGTTGTCATCCACTATGGGGCACGATGTCCTCACAGAGACGTAGCTTGACTCAGATCGCCTCCCTCGGCTGTCCACCGCAAACAGAGTGAACCTGGCCCAGAGAAGAAAGGAGAGACTGATGCAGAAGCTGGTGAAGTTGAATCACACTGGAGCCTGTGGCGTAGCTGGTGCTCACGCTGTGAGGGCAGACCAAAAGAAAGTTAAGTACATCTCCTCTGCCAGTCCTACGACCTGAGGATCCTCTAAATTACTGTTCTTGGTTACAGGTACATCCCAACAGAGAGGCTGGCAAAAATATAGTTCTGCTCACTGATGAAGAGTCAAAATAGAGTGCATTCCAGATTCACTTCCATTAAAGATGTTATAAACATTCCTCTCTCTCCTGCCACACACACAGGAAGGGCAGAGTTATACAAATGCCAGGACTACTACTATTCTTATTCATATTCGTATTCGGATACGTATTCCTATTATGTGCTTGAAAGAATAAGTAGCTGCAACTTAAGGGTAATAAGAGTGCAGAAAAACTAAAAGACTTAAAGCAGAATGTTCAATGAGGAAGAGGACTCAGGACATATTTTCATTTCCTTTAGATAACCTACAGATTTCAATGTACTGTATTTCACATCGACAGAGCCACTAAATGCCACCTGCTCAGCAGATATAGCACTTTCCTTAATAAAACAGTTATTTTTTGCAAGCTAGTAAATTCCCCCAAAAACCTTTTGCCTTTTCCAATCAGGCAGTGGCCTGAGCTGTTGACTCACAGCCAGTCTGTGTAACTGAGTCTCTGCCCAGCTGCAGCTACAGCATCGTTCACTCAAACAGCAGTACTCTGTAAGGACAAGGTCACATCGCCTTTGTCTGTGCAATCCAATAGTTTCATAAACACAGATATTCAAAATAGCTTGCTTCAGGACTTTAGTAAAATGGTGTTTTAAAAATGGTCAATCAAAGCAGTCACCCGGGGGGATGAGGTGTAAGTGAAATAAGAAAAATAAAACCCGTTCAAGAATTGAAATTTTGTGACATTTTACAATATTCTTGCTTGCTTACAAAAGGCAATGGGTCTCATATTTCTGATATTCGTGCGCCCAGCTAGCTGGAATGCAATTCACATTTAAAAATACCTATAATTCACAGCAGGCATGTATTGGGAATTCAGAAGGATTCCATTACTTTCCAAAAAATTCTCCTGGCACGATATCAAAGCACTAAAACCATTTACCCAAATAACTGCTTGAATGGGACTTTCTTTCTGTAATGACAGTGATTTGTGAAAAAAAAGTAGTCCTACCCCATACTTTGTCTTAGACCACCCAGTCCCCAAAGTTAAGAATTTAAATTGTGAGCTCCAGTCATAACAATGAAAAGACACCCTGTCTCTATGTAAAGAACTTCTAGGAATTTGTGTCCCAACAATCAGCACTTGGTTACTGTGAAGCTTTCCATAAGCTGAATGGCCGCCTCTTATTTGTGGTCCTCCTTATGTTCTTACATTCAAAATAAAAATCATCTCTTGCACTGAATTCCTGGTATTTGTGTATGTGGGATGTCTGTTGAAGCAAGTGAAGAGAAACACTACACTAGCAATGCAGGTTGTAGTAACTGTAGATGTGATTTCTGCAGGCATACTGATGTCCTGGAGTCTTCACAACAGATGTATGTCCTGTTTTTTTACATTTTCTTTTCAGAGTAAACAAATTGAATAAACAATTTATATAGCAACTTGCTGTAGCCTGTGGATTTATTTTTGAGTACCTTTTACTCCACTCATACATGTTTTTATACTGAACTTTACTCCTGCTATAAAGCTGGGCTTATACGGTGATCATTCTTTCTATTATTACATCTTACTAGGTTCTAAAGTTCATCTTATGTCTTGTAGGCATATCCAATTTACAAGACACACAAGCACAGTTTTATTATAAAATGTTATTAGATGGAATATATAAGCCCATAAAGACTTGGAGCTTAGTCTAATCAGATCATCAAGGAAAATGACTTTGAAGGCTGGGAGTGGAGAACCTACAGCTCAACATGACTGCTTGGGTACAACTTGGGCTGAAATGATCTTGCTCATGAAGTACTTATGCTTGATTTGTGTTACGGACAGGGTCTGCGGTCCGTGTCGGGTTTTGTTGTAGACCCTATGCAATGCAGTAAGAGCTGGAGAAAACGGGAGGCGTGGTAGGTTTAATGGTGCACAAAATAACTGACAGCCCGTGAGACAGTGAGTGGGGGAGACAAAGAATGGCATCCAAATCCGAGCAGGTCCAAAGGCAGGTCAGGACACAGTCCATGAGCCCATCAACAATTAATCCGTCCTCTGACGCGACAAGGTTAAAATCCCCGGAAAGGGGGAAAACAGGAACACGCGCAAAACATGGAGGTCCCAGGATGATGGGGCGAGTTCCTCCAGACCCCGGGCTCAGGAAATGGGAGGTGTTAAAGATGAGGCCTGTGCCCTCAGGAGACAGATGTAGGGTATCCTGGTGCTAGGCAGGCCTTGCAACATCCATACCCTAATGTTGATCCTCGAGGACTGGAGGTGCTAGACTTTAAATAGCGGTAGGCATAACAGTCATGGAACTAATGACAGGAGTAGTGGAGCGCCCTCTAGGCGAGGAATGTCAGCCGTGACAGTTTAGAAGGGAACCTCACAGGTTCTCCTATAATCAGCTTTCAGAGGAAGCTGGAATTAATTTCTGTGAGATGCTTGCCTCCTTCCTAATGTTTCCTGACTAAATACAACGAAATCCAGAGATCAGATGAACTCAGTCTCTCATCGGCTCATCAGGGGGTTTGAAAGTCACCAAAAAACCTCTGCACTATGATCCATGTTTGCTGTCAGGGAATAGAAGCAGCACTCTGAAATGGTTGGATCTAACCCCTAGATGTTCAAGGACATAATGCAGACGTTTTCTTACAGACAACCACACCAGCCTACAATCACACTGAAATGGACTGACAAAATGTGCACAGGGAAACCTCAAATTCAAGGAGAGTGGTATGAATGTCCATGCATCCTGTAACAACATTGTCATTTTTGCGCAATCATGTACAGTGAAGTGGCCACACAATGCCTGTAAAAGCCATGCACAGGACATGACTGTGGAGAAAGACAGCAAGCATTTGGCTGAAATTAAATGACGATTCAATCTGGTTTATATTCAATCACTGCTGAGAATTTTTATAGGTCTCTATTTAATAATTTAATTTGAATAGTTTCTTTATCTACAGAAGTTCGAGTACAGTAGGTAACAGCATCAACATGTGTAGGCTTTTCTTTTCAGCATAGAATAAACCTTTACCTGTTCTTCTCTATCTATACTGTACGTGCACTTCAATATCACTGTATTTAAAGGTGATATTGTGCACTCAGCTGTCTCGCTGAGTCCTAAAGGAGAGCCAGCTATAAGGTCATACCTTTAAATGCAGGCTGTGCATGCCCCACTTGCACAGAATACAGATTTGTGCTTCTTTAGTCTAACGATTTAAACATGTTCCTCTAATACCAAAGTTACCGTGTATTAACTGCAAACTGGATCCCACAAGGAGGCACACAGTAAACCTCCAGGAAAGACAGAAGTTGTGGTTGGAAATTCCTTCCTGACCCCTGACTGCAAAGAATTTCAAAGACTTTGATGAAGGCCTTTGCCTTCATAGTTAGAGGACAGCAATACTATGATAATCACTGCAGCCTCAAGTATGAAGCCATCACTTTGTTATTTCAGCAATAGGCAATAGAGAAACTAAAACTGTCCTGACTTCTGACATTGAACAGCAAAGCTTGAACCAACTGCTGTGCAACATAACAGCAGGACTGACACAGACTCCCATCAGAGCCCAGATAGCTCTGCCAATCATAAACACAATGTCAAACCCTTCATTAGCCCTAAACAGATAAGAGTTTTAGGGATATTTCTTTCTTTGAAAATGAAAGCCTTGAAACCAGTTAACTGCTGTAGTCATGTTGGCAGTAATTAAAAGAGTGTTTGCTTTTTTTCTTAAACTTCAGCAATCAAACGAGGTCACCCACACGTAGTTACAATTTCACGGCTAAAACCTTTCTTTTCACTCCATCTTCTCAATACTGCACAGAATTTAAAAAATAATAAATATAACACATTGGACACTTACTTATGAAATGATGTAATTATGAAAATGATGAAAAGAGACTTTTCCCTTAACACAGTTTCTATTTTAGACAAGAAACTAAATTGGCCATGAACTACCCATGGAAAATTGAGGATGTTTCCACAAATTCCAGTCAGAGTTTTATTTTTCTCTGTTGTCTCTTGAACTACAGATGGTTAACTGCTGTCTCTGCACTATTCTACTTTAAAAGAGCAGACCCACAATGGCCTAGAGGTACAGACACCTGTAGTAACTCAGGAAAACAGTGTGAACAGTAAAAAGAGATCTTTGTGAGATCACAGAACAGAGAAAGAAGAGCTGCGTGCTTAAAATCAGAAAGAGGTTCTTAATTGAAAAATATTGTCACAATCGTCTAAATTAATATACACTAAACAAGATTCGTGTTTACCTTGGTGATGTTCCAAAGTTTGGTATGCTTGATCTCCTTCACATCAGGTGAAGTCTCATATTTTGATTTCTGTTTCAGTCTAGAGCTGTGTGTGTGTTGTTTTTACTACAGCACAATAATTTGTCTCTTTCCACTCCTCGGTCCTCTGAGGGTTAACTCAACAGGCGCTCAGGCATTTGGGCTGGACGAGAATAACAGTTCATTAAGCCCACTTTAATGTATGATAAATGTGGCGGGCAATGGCCATGAAGGGTTCCCAACATTATCTCTGGATTATTAAGTGGGATATCACATGGAAAAAAGGTCACATGTTATAGTTAATGTGACCCTGTTTTTCAGTTTCAAGATATGTCATGTTACTGCGGTCCTACTTTTGCTAAAAACATGCTGAAGATTCCTTAGGTTTCTATTTCAAGTGCATGACAATACAAATATACAGAACTTTCTCTTACAATAACAAGGCAACTCTCATTCCTAATCAGAGGGGTAGAATGTCTGTTACAGTTCCTACCAATATGAACAACAAATATATATATTTTTTT